CGTGCTTTGTGCTGCTGGTGCATATAAAGTTATGATAGATATGTTGAAATGCTTTTCTTTTCGTTTAACGACAAGAATTATTTTAGAATTTTGACAGTATCCCCGAACACATTTCTTTATGTCTTGGTCTAATATTAGTCCTATTAATCTTTTCTTTTTCTCTCCCCCGATATATGGTATTTTTTGTGATGCCAACGAATACTCGTTGTCACTTTTGCAATGCTCGTTGTAGTAGAGACTTTGTAATCGCAGATACAACTTATAGTAATGCCATTGAACAATACTCGTGCCAGACGCCTTCGAATATCACTTGCACTAATAGTACTTGCTCGATAATACTCGCTCGAATAGTAATCCGTATAGTAATCTGAACAAAGAAATAGTATAGTGAACAAAGTAGAGAATAGCGGTCCGTATAGTAATAGATGATAGACTAGGAATTGTTGACCATGTTCACAATAGTCTATGAATAGAGAATACAGCGCAGGACGTAATCTGTTTAATGAAACAACGTTAAAGTGTAATATTCTCGAGTCAGATATTTTACTGAATCTGACTATATCGCCAATACCACCAGCAGCTGTTCCGTAATTGTTCAGTCTTCGATATCAAAGGCTGGCAGTGAATATTCGGGAAAAAAAACATGGCCGCCTTTATACACGTCGCATTGAATATTTTGAGCCTCCTAATTGGTTAACCCTTCTATTGGTGAACTATGAAATGAGTCAGCTCATTTTGGCTGGCTCACTGGTACACCGGGGTACCCCAAAATTCCAACAGGAATAGCAATCATTTAGAGGTTACGCGACTTCCTATATATACGTTTCCTCTAAAATAGCAATTTCTTGACCAATCGAAACCAAAATTTGGGGAGAAATGCAGCTAAGTAAGGGGGTACAAAGAACACTTAGTTTTACTAGTGTGCGTTGTTTAGTACCATAAATTTCCATTCATTTTTGAGTAAAAATTAAAAGTTCTAATATTTAAGATACAAAATGCGCCCACTACCTTAAAAACATTCTCATGATTAAAACTGCAAATACGAATTTAATAAAAATACAATATTAATTATTGTATATCTTTTCTTTAAGTTATTATACATATTTATTTTGATTGTTTGCAGCATAATTTTAAAAAGATTAATGGCTAATCTACCTATCTGTACCTATATATATATATATATATATATATATATATATATATATATATATATATAAGACAAGTAAACTTTTTACATTTTGTTATACAATTCCTTCAATACTGTTCTTGATATATAGAAATGTATATCAATATAAACATTGTTATATATCAAGAACGATATTGAGAAATACACACACACACACACACACACACATATATATATATATATATATATATATATATATATAGAGAGAGAGAGAGAGAGAGAGAGAGAAAGAGATACACCTAGTGAGCCAGACAAACCTACCTAGGTTTCACCTAAACGGATCGTCAGTCTAGTTATCTAGTTATCTATAATTATATATATATATATATATATATAATTTTGTGACTTCTGTTTTCCGTCCGTCCGTCAAACCGTCTAAAATAGCCATACATTGACTGATTGAAATCAAATTTAAAAATATTGAAGTCCTACAAAATTAAATTAAAGAAATTGTTTAACCGCGAAGCAGGATTTTTGCGAAAGTATTTTTACGAACAAATCAGATTATTCAAATTTCATCGATTCGTTTGCGAAATTGAATTCAATGTCACATTTGTAAATATCAGCGATAACTTCAACAATACTAAATACCATGAAAATTTCAACGCACATCAGCGTATTGCAAGAAATATCATAGTTAGATAAAAAAAAAAAAAAAAAAAACAAAAAAAAAAACACAACACTTTAAAAAGATATCTGCGAGATTGAATAAAAACTTTTCTAAATTGATCTTATTTAACGCAGGTGTTCATCAAGGGCTCTAGCATGAAACAGCCTGTCGCCTCTAAGTGTTGATCTCAATGTTCACTTTTATATTTATACACGCCCTATCTTTGATATTGAGCAATTTATCCCATAAATATAGCACACCTTAAGAGTATATTTCTTCACACACACACACACACACACACACACACACACACACACACACACACACACACACACACACACACACACACACATATTTATGCATATATATAATGAACTCTCTAATAGATTTCAACGTATAAGGATCTAACAATTGAGACAGGAGTAAATGATAGTGTCATCTACATAAATGGCTACTTTGGAGCTGATGACATCAGGAAGATCATTGACAAAGATCAGAAATAATGTAGAAACCAGGTTAGAGCCCTTGAGGGACACCTGCTTTAAAGTAGATCAATTTAGAAAAGTTTTTATTCAATCTCACAGATATCCTTTTAAAGTATTGTGTTCTTTTTTATTTAACTATATTTCTAATTCTCATGGTATTTAGTATTGTTGAAGTTATCGCTGATATTTACAAATATGACATTGAGTTCAATTTCGCAAACGAATCGATGAAATTTGAATAATCTGATTTGTTCGTAAAAATACTTTCGCAAAAACCCTGCTTTGCGGTTAAATAATTTCTTTAATTTAATTTTGTAGGACTTCAATATTTTTAAATTGATTTCAATCAGTCAATGTATGGCCATTTTAGACGGTTTGACTGACGAAAAATGGAAGTCACAGAATTTTTTATATATATATATATATATATATATATATATATATATATGAATAAAAATGAAAATACGAAAACTGGTAATTGCTGACGCGTTTCGTCCAATGTGGACTTTATCAAAGCAAAATACGAAAATGAAATTAAATGAACAAAGTAACTAATAAAAACAAAAACAGAATGTACCTAGCAACTGGAATGTAGAGAAACGCTATTTTCATATTTTTTAAAAGAGACCTCACAAAAAACAACTTAGCTAATGCAATAGTCATACATAGAAATAAATACAACCATAATTTTGATTTTAAAAATGCTACATTCATAAAAAAAAAAGAAAATAACTCACTCAGAAGGAAAATTCTGGAGAGTGCCGCCATAGAAAATTACCCAAATATTAATTTACGCCCAGGCTTTTTCCCCATTTCACCTTTCTTAACAAAATTAATGCTCTTACAAACAAATATGCACAACAGATTCATAAAATCGAAAGAAAATGGTTGAATACATCAACCCAGATATAATGACAATTTTCTCCACACGTGACAAATACTGACGTTATTTTCAGTTAAAACTAGTAAAACTAAGTGTTCTTTGTACTCCCTTTCTTAGCTGCACATCTTCCCAAATTTTGGTTTCGATCGGTCAAGAAATTGCTATTTTAGAGGGTGTGACGGACGGACTAACGTAAGTCGCAGAATTTTATATATAGAATAGGTCTTACAGTTTCATTTTTTTTTGTTTTTATTCCTTATTTTAGTTTTTCGTTCCTTATTTTGGTTTTTCAAATAATTTGATCGGTTTAGCATTCCCGATTTCAAACTCCCCATTTTCCTTCGTAAACAATTTTTGATTATAGTTTCTCTTTGTTTCTCTCGACAATACTTCCATATTTTAGTTCCATTTTTTTTCTTTTTGGTGGGATTCATCTGAATAAAATTTATTATTTGTTTATTTTGGAATTTCGGTTTCTTTTTTTATCATTTCGATTTTTTTTTTCTTCTTAAAAAATTCTTCGATTTTTCTTTTAAAATTCTTCTTTGCTTTTTACCTTTCTTATTTCTTCTTTGTTCTTAATCTTGAATTTCCTTCCCGGATTCCCTTTCTTGCTTCCATATCTTTGTCTTCTTTCGATCCTATTTACAGAAGCCATGTCTAATTTAGACAAAAGCGTCACAAGCATAGATCACCTAAAGATTATCAAATCCAGTTTGTTGACCATTACACCACAATGAGACATACATTTTTCCCTCTTTTACTTATTGTTCTATTGTTAAACCCAATAAAAGGCGCAAGAGCCACACAAGTTCGTGGGTCACTAAATGGAGATGTCGTAATGGCGTATAGGGAGGGATTGATTTGTTTTCTTTTTGACGGTTTATCAACCTTTTGCAGATTAAGGCCAGAAAATATTTCTAGATTTTAAGAATGTTTTTGAGATAATAATAATTTACTAATAGAAGTGTTACTAATGAACCCATAGCTACGGAGATGAGAGATATTTGCGCGTAAATGAATATAAAGAACCCGACTGGGATTGGAACACGGCTCACCGATTTCCAGTTCCGAGCCGTTATCAATTACACCACCCGCACATCCAAGCATACAGAACCTGGTATTCCCAAGCGATCATCCATCTAGGTACTGGCCAGGCTCGACGTTGCTTAACTTCAGTGATCGTGCAAGAACCGGAATAAGGTCCGTAAGCCTGTACAGGGAGACAACAAGGGTTGCATAATATGAGGATATGTAGGATAGATAACGCCTGACATTCGAAGAGGTTAAGATTGTAGGGAAGTATTCTCTTGAGATTCCGTTCATACAGTTCTGGGGAAGAAGCTGTCTGGATGGGACTTCTTCCTTACCAATGGAATTTGAATCGACTCAGTGTATCTGGCCTTACGCGTTCTAGTAGAGAAGGTCGGAACTATAGTTGTTTCGGACATCTAGCATAAAACTAACGTTAGTGTAGCAACGTTTCGCCTGTGGGGAAAGGGGCTGTAGAATTGAAAATAATTCATCACCCACAGGGCCGCGCAAACGCATTTGAACTCTGTCGAGGCTAAAAAATGAAGATTGAGCAACTCCGGCTCAGACGAGGCAGCAATAATCCATTTTTGGTCTGATTTGTCTCTTGGAGAAATATTGTGCATGACAGGAAGGTACATTCTGTAACAGATCATTACAAGCTGAAATTTAACTCTAGTCTGGTACAAGGTCTAATTGGAAGAGCACCCAGGAGGACCTAACTCGCAACAAGTATCGTGTGTAATCCGAGCGTGTTAAACAATGCTGAATGGCAAACAGTGTATAGTAATACACTAAGCTTAGCTGACAAGTATATTTGTTTATTTCTTTTTCTTCTTTTTCCTTTTGTTTCTGGGTTTTCTTCTGTTCGTCTGTTTTTTCTGTCTCTATTTCTCTCTCTCTCTCTGTCTTTGTTCTTTCTTTCTTTCTTTATTTTTGTTTCTCTTCCTCTCTCTCATTTTATTTCTTTTCTTTCTTTCTTTCTTTCTTTCTTTCTTTCTTTCTTTCTTTCTTTCTTTCTGTTTCTTTTCTCTTTCTTTCTGTTTCTTTCTTTCTTTCTTTCTTTCTTTTCTTTCTTTTTCTCTTTCTTTTCGTCTTTCTTTCTTTCTGTTTCCTTTTGTTTGCTTGTTTCTTTCTGTCTCCCTTTGATTGTTCCTTTCTACCTTTCTTTCTTTCTTTCTTTCTTTCTTTCTACTCCTATTACCATACTCTTCTTTCTTTCTTTCTTTCTTTCTTTCTTTCTTTCTTTTTCTTTCTTTCTTTCTTTCTTTCTTTCTTCTCCTATTACCATACTCTTCTTTCTTTCTTTTCTTTCTTTCTTTTTCTTTCTTTCTTCTCCTATTACCATACTCTTCTTTCTTTCTTTCTTTCTTTCTTTCTTAACTTTCTTTCTTTCTTTGTCTCTTTCTTTCTGTCTCTCTGTTTCTTCTTTCTTTCTTTGTATGTTTGTTTCTTACTTTCTTTTCTCCTTCCTTTCTGTTTCCTTTTGTTTGCTTCTTTCTTTCTGTCTCCCTTTGATTGTTCCTTTCTTTGTTACTGGCTTTCTTTATTTTAATCGTGTTATTTCTTTTCTTTCTTGACATAGGCAAGAACACGAATTTTATTTTGATCAAGTCTTTTGTTTTCTTAACATGGCTAGGAACATCTCTGCAAATGGATGGCACTTTTAAGTTGGCCCGACGTTAATTATTTTATAGATTGAATTCCTGGGTATCCAGTCACGAGTTAAGTTCTTCAGAAGTGAACAAAACCTCAAATCCTAACCTGATTAGGTAAACACGTCCAACCCAATTTCACTGTCAAACATTTTGATATTATCCCTTTCTTCTTATACGTTTTGTGTTATTTTAGGACGTAGGCGATTATTGCTGTCTACAACTTCCTGTCTTGCTTAAAGTAATTTTTGACTTTTTATCTCCCCTCTTTGTTTTTGCTCTGCGATTCGGTCACCGAAACACATTTTTCTATTGTCTTCAGTATTTCCTCTGAGTGTTTAATTCTCTTAGCCTTCTTTCCTGATTATGTTTCTCTTAAATTCCATCTGTCTTTTCCTGATTCTAAGTCTCAGTTTCCTTGTTGTTCCTATTTTCCTTAAGACTTCCCCTTTGCTCAGATGTTCTGTCTTTTATATTCTTAGCATCATTCTGTATAACCATATTGCTGTTGATTCAAGTCTTCTTCATCTGTGAAGAGATTGTCCAGCATTCTCTTACGTTCAGGAAAATAGACATAACATAGTAGTCCACCTCACTTTTCTATGTCGCCTATCTTTAAATACTTTGCTTAGTTTCTGAAAGAAACTTTTTCTATTACTCTGTGTCTTCAGAATTCTGCGTCATAACTTTTGTCGCCTGTTATAACACTACCTAGATAGTTACATATCTGTGTCTGATTGGGCTGATTTTAACATCCCAAATGCATAAATTGTCATGATTTTATTTGTCATGTCATTTTATTTTATTTTTTCACGAGTCTAATAGACTCGTGAAAAAATTGAACATGTTTGATAAACAAAAGATTGTATTCAGAATTACTGCCCAGGTAAAGCAGCAATTATAAATGGTGTTCGTAAAAAGTAGCACACTATTTTCCCTCAGTTTTCCTACTTCTTTAAAACTGATGATTCACACGTTCTTTTTTTTTTTTCACTGTCAACCGGAAATCCTCTCTGTTAAGCCGTATTAATTCAGATAGAGAAAACCTTTCGCAGAATATTTGCAGCGCCAAGCAATGTAGCTTTCTCAAACGATGGGATGCTAGGCTTTATTTCGTTTTTTTTTCATGTGGAACATAAGTCCGGTGGTATAGATTGCAATATTCCAATAATATCTGGGAAAATAACGGCCTGAATGAGAGGCCACTTTATCATGGCGACGCTTTTATTCCTTTTGCACAATGATGATGTTAAGTGGCTTCAAGGACGAGGTATGTTTGGACGTTGAAATCAAACAACGTTATCGGTCACCATTTCTGATTTGTGGTGGTATCGTTTCTCGTCATCTTCAAGTCCTTACTTCCTACGTAGACAATATATATAATGAAGGTGAAAGGATTCTCTCTGAGTTTTGGCTCGCAATCCTTTTAGTGTTGGTTTCACGATAAAAAAAGACTTCAGAGAGGAAAGAAAACTCATGACAGCTTAACCCGGTCATTATACAGAGTGCTATTTGAGGACATTTTGTTTTGTGTTCACTCCACACTCAAATCATTTATATTATTACATTTTTTTTTATATCAGATAACCCACTCAAAGGAAGATGTTAACCCAAGAAGTGAAAAGACATGCAGCCATTGTTGCTTTAGCTGTAAAACATAGTGATTTAAAAATCAGTAACTTTTTATATGTTGCCAGATCATTTGTTCATAAGGTTTGGTTGGAGCTAGAGGGATATGATAGCAATGTTTCCCCTGTTGCAAAAAGAACAAAGCATTCACAGCACTGATACCGTGAGAACACCAGAATTTATACGGAATTTTCAAAACATCATCGATGAGAACTCCGGAAGATCAATGAGGTCCATCGCCAAAGAACTCCAGGTATCAGAGTGGACTATCAGAACCGTGGTACATCAGGTCAATCGATACAAGTCATATGCAATGAGGAAACACCAATTCATATCTGTGAAGACACAGGAAAACAGTCTCATGCATTCAAAACAGTTGCTGAACAAAGTGAAAAACCCCCACGAACATGGCATGCTTTAGTTTTTCTCTGGCAAAAAAAACTTTGACCAAGATCAGAAAACAAACAGACGGAATGACAGGTGGCTATGTGCATCTCCTTCTGAAGTACCCAGGGTGATGCACACCAAATATCCGGCTACTGTGATGGTTTTAGGAGTTGGGAGCAGTGAAGGTCATGTCATGCTACCTCACATTTTCCCAGAAGATCTTAGGGTCAGTGTTGCTGGATACATTAATGTTCTTAAAACGGTTGTTAAGCCCTGGATAAATAAAGTATGCAATGGAAGGCCATATGTCTTTCAACAAGACTCTGCACCTTCTCACAAACTCATTGTAACCCAGGATTGGTTATCAGAGAATTTTTACGATCATATGACCCACAACGTGTAGGCCCCCTAACTCGCCAGATTTAAATCCTATGGACTATTTCGTCTGGAGCGTCGTTGAAAGGGAGACTAATCGACATCCTCATAGTACCATAGCTGCACTGAAGGACGCCATTGTCCAGATGATGAATAGGAACCACTTAATTGCAGCTTGTGGACGGTTCGAGCCCGAATAGAAGCAGTCATTGAAGCCAAACGTGGTTTCATAGAATAATTAGATAAAGAAGTATCATGAAGGATATTTGTGTCAATTTGAATTAAATATATACATTATTTGCTAAGATATTGCTGTTTATTTAACATACTAAAAATGTCCTCAAATAGCACTCGCACTCTGTATTGCATGTGTCTGCCGAGAGGCGTGTACTGGCTGATATTGACTGTGACCCGGAGAGGTTAAACTCCGTGATAACGCATGAGGACTGTTGTTCGGAGTTTCCGTAGCAAGTCTTTTGCACCGTTATTTTTTTATCGACAGATCCAAAAATTGTGGATGGTCCGACACAAGCATTCACCACTTGAAACAAATCATTGCGTTGGTTTTCTGACCACTATATCTAATTAGTTCCACACATATCCGGCTACTGCGAAAAACTCTACGAAACAATATCAACTTCATCTTGGCATTTGGAATGTACGAACTCTCCAGGACAACAACTCAGCACCAGAAAGAAAAACAGCTCTGGTCGCATTGGAGCTAAAGAAGTACAACATTTGATATAGTTGCACTGAGAAGTAACCATCAGTCGACTACATGAAACGAGAAAGCAAAATAAGACATCTAACAGTGTTCCTGTTGCACTTGGATACAATATTTTCTCCTGTACTGTTTGTGGTGTTTTGTGCAATTCTCGAGCCGGTCTCAAAAGTCATGCCCGTCTTAGGCATGCAGATAATCAGTTCGTGGTCGTCGGAATCTCATACGTCGAACTCGACGGAGAGTCCATCATATATATATATATATATATATATATATATATATATATATATATATATATATATATGTTTCTCTGATTTAAACAGTAGAGAAGACAATATTTATGAATAAAAATGACAATAGGACAACTGGTAATTGCTGACGCGTTTCGTCCAATGTGGACTTTATTAAAGCAAAATACGAAAATAAATTTAATTGAATAAAGTAACTAATAAAATCAAAAACAGAATGTCCTTAGCAACTGGAATGTAGAGAAACGCTATTTTCATATTTTTAACTGAAAATAACGTCAGTATTTGTCACGTGTGGAGAAAATTGTCATTACATCTGTGTTGATGTATTTTTCTTTTGATTTTATGAATCTGTTGTGTATATTTGTTTGTGAGAGCAGTAATTTTGTCAAGAAAGGTGAAATAGGAAAAAAAACTGGGCGTAGATTAATATTTGGGTAATTTTCTACATAGAAATAAAATTCAACCATAATTTTGATTTTAAAAATGCTACACTCATAAAAAAAGAAAATAACTCACTCAGAAGGAAAATTCTGGAGAGTGCCGCCATAGAAAATTACTATCCCAAGTTTTACATGTTCTAGCCCTGTTTATAATTTTCCATTTTACTTTAGGTGTCCTAGTTGTTTCCTTCAGATGCCATATATATATATATATATATATATATATATATATATATACGACAATATTCATGAAAATATGTTAAAACTACGGACATTAAGAATTCTGATTTATTTTTCTGAAACGAGCTACTGACACTACTTCAATCGTGTACATTCGTGAATAAATTCTTTATCTTGTTTTGTTTTCGTGTGTTTCCTCGTCCTTATCATCCCTCATTAATCTTCTTGGTGTGGGTCAATCAACTGTCCATATTAACCCCTAAGCTCTAGGCTTTTATGAAGTCACCCTACTCAAAGCTATTCATATTCAGTTTCCTCTGGATCAACAATTGTTTCTCCTCTTGGCGATTCAATACTTGTATAGCTACTTTTTTTCCTTCACTATATCGTCAGTATAGCACACTTCTTTATCCATAACACCATCCCTTCGTCCTTGCAATAGATATTCCCCGTTTGCACAAATGAGTCAAGCTGCAATCCACCACTTGGTAAAGAGTTTAAAATCGTTCATAAAGAGGAAGTGCTTGACAGAATTCTCAGGTCAGTCATCATTCGATTTTAACTTATTCTAAAGCATTCAAGGTCATTGAAAACCTTCCGATCCTTTCGATGGTTGCATACTATGTGCTTTGTCAGGGCAATTTATGGCTTTGAATTCAGAGTTGCCCTTCTCCTAGATTGTTTGCCAAGCAAGGCTGTCTTAATATTTAACCCATACTGGGGGAAGAAGAAATGGATTCATACCATTCCATTTGTATTTTCGCAAACTATTTCTAGAAGGCAAATATAACCTTACTTTTCCATGAGTCTCTCCGTAGCCAAGTGGTCGAAAACAAACCGGATCAGACGGTGGCTTCTTTTACGAAAGGGATGCAAGTT